ATTTTGTTTTTGTTTTTTTTTTTTTTTTTTTTTTTTTTGGAATTTGGGGAGACGGGGTTTAGCTTTTACTGTTGGTTTTTATTTTTAAATGACGATATTTGAAACTCATACCAAAAATATCTTTGGTACCCGTGGTCATATATTATAAGAAATTTCAAACTAGTTTTTAGTAAATTTTTGGAATATAATATTGGACAAAATCTTGGATTAATTTTTGAACCAAAAGTCATTTATAACTTTTGTTGGTTTGTAAGAAACCTACTTTTTGATTGTTTGTGATTTCTGAAACACTTTTTGGTGATATTCGAAAATCAAAGTTTACTTCTAAAATATCTCAAAAAAAATTCTAAACCAAACAGCTTTGGAAGAGAAGTAATTTTCCAATATTCATCATTAATGCGTAAAAGAAAAAAACAAATCATCATTCCCAGACTGAATTACTGAAAGAATGTAAGGGTAAAACGTTACTACTTGAAACCTTAGGGGTGCTTAATGTGATTAACAAAACTAAAGTCCATACATATATTGGGCCAGGATCCTCCATCGGCCCAATTACCTTCCCGGTCAAACCCCGCCGTCCAAGACTTCTCACTCAACCGAAAAACGGCGGCGACGGTCAGCAGCAAGCTCAGTTAGCGGTGTTTTCCGGAGAGAATACAGCTAAGATATGGAAAATGAGAAGAAAATAGAGAGCTATGTGGTGGTACACAACATAGCAAAGAGACACAATGTCGGAACCCTAGCTCGTAGCGCCACTGCGTTCGGCGTCTCCGAGATGATACTAGTCGGCCGTCGAGATTTCAACGCCTTCGGTAGCCACGGCTCTACCTCTCACGTCCGGTTCCGCCACTTCCACTCCCTCACCGATGCTAAAACTTTCCTCAAGGTATTCAAAAAATTCCAAAAATAAGAAATATAAACTTATTTTATGTGCATTTGAAGTATTTTATGTTATTCTAAAGCTAAAAGCAGATGTTATTTTGTTCATTTTTTAATTTTACTGAACAGGAAAGAGATTGCGATATATGTGGAGTTGAAATTACAGAAAATGCGGTGGCTGTAAATGAGCATCCTTTTAAAAGAAGTACTGCTTTCCTGCTGGGAAATGAGGTTGTGAATCTATAGTATCTTTTTGAAAGAATTACGAGAAAATACTTCACACCGTAACAAAAAATGACCATGTTTTTAAGTTTTAGCCCACCTAGCCCACATTGTACGCACTTGCAAATTCAAAATCTATGTTCTTACAACTATTGCTTCTAAAATTATGTAGTTAATTCTTTGTTCTCACAACCATTGCTTTTACTCTATCTTCTTCTCACATCTTCTACATATGCTTCAAGGGGTCGTGTATTTTCTGTTTCTGCTCTTGTGTCACTTACTTGCCATGTAAGAAAATTGAAGAGTAGAAGTCCACCATTGAACACCATTCAAAGTTTTGCTTTTGAAAATGAGTTTTTTTGAATTTGTTAGTTGTTTGGATTGGGTGTTGTTCCAATTGATTGAAAATATCAAAAGAAGTTCAAAAGTTAAATTTGAAGTGATTTGGAGTAGATTTGAGCAAGATTTGAGTTAAATTTCAGAAAAGACGCAAGGAAGAAGACGAAGTCAGTTTTTTGTATAATTATGTATAATCTTGTATAATAGTGTATATGAGGGTAGAAACACACCTTATACACTATTATACACTTTTATACACCTTTATACAAGCATATGTAGACGAACTTCTCCCACGATTTTTAGTTGTAATTCTTGTTCAAAACCAGTCCAACTCTCCATTAAATGACTTCAAATTTTATATACAACCTCCTTATACTATTTCTAACAAGTCTAAATAACACCCACTCCAAATGTCTCACAAAATCAAATTTGGAATTTAAACCCACATATTTAAGCTTGTTAAAAATCTAATTTTCACCGCCCAAATGAATTTGGTTGTTGAATTAATATTTGAGTCACAGTTACTTTTTCGAAAATTAATTTAAAAACTTGAGGAATCTTTTTTAAAAATTAAATAGTAATTTTGAGAACCTATTTGAGTTGGATGTTGAATCTTAGCCTATTATTTTTGGGCTAGTTGGTTGTAAATTGAAATATGGGCTATAAAATTGAAAAGTATGGAGCTCAGTTGTTCTAATGTGAAATTTTCCCTATCTTTTTCGGCATTATTTTAAAATTGTTGAAATGTTGGTGACAATTTTGTAATGAAAACAATAAAAAAACAAATGATCCATGTAAGTTACATATAACAAGTAATCGGGAATTAGGACTTATCTGTTGTTGTTACAGTTATATAGAGTCAAGTGTTTGTGAAGAGTGTTTCTGGTCCAGTTTGAGGCTTTTATTTCAGCATAGGGACAAGTGTTAGATTTATTGAACCTATAGTTTTAGTCCTAATTGCCTTATAGGACAAATATATAGTATTAGAATAGAATGAGCCTGAATAGAGCAGAATGGGTAAAAAGATTCACAGCCCATTCCTACTAGTTCAAGATTGATGTGTGGTCGATTGATGTTAAATGGTGTTCACATTTTAATCAAATGATGCTCTTTCCTCAACCAAAATATAGTACAATAAAAACTCTAAGCAATTTCTGAAAGTTTTGGCCTAGAGGTGTTAGCAATTACTTGTTCTTTCTTATGCTCGGGAAATATGTTACTGATTTCTCGTCATCTGTTTTGGAAATAAGTATTAGGGTTGGAAAGTAATTCGCCTAATGATATTTGTTTGCATAAATTGGTGTTGTAGGGTACTGGACTTTCTGCAAAAGAGTGTGAGATATGTGATTTCTTTGTATATATTCCACAATATGGGTGTGGTACTGCTTCGTTGAATGTGACAGTCGCTGCTTCCATTGTTCTACATCAATTTGGAGGTAACCTCTATAGAAAATCACTGCTTCTCCTTTTATCTTATTTTTCCTATTCTGTTTTTGGTGACTGTTCCCATATACTCATGTTTGCTACGATCTTCTTTGGGGTTGAGGGCCAACTCATTTAGTGAGCTCCCTGCCTTCCACAGTTGAGGTGGAGGGTTCAAACCCCATCATTAACGTGGCATCCTCTTCTCCCTCCCCTGATGTAGCATAAAAATTTTAAACAAACAAAATAATTTTGTATCTCATTCTGCAAGTAAGAAGGACCATAGTTTTTCTGCGTGGTTTATTTCTACATTTCGTGCTTTATCTTTTGCTAACATCTTTTGCTAACACTGCTTACGAATAAGAAAAGAAATGTAAGGTTTTTGGTTCTCATTCCTTTTTTCTAATATAAGTATATGGTAAACCCCACCCTGTCACCCCTCTATCTAGGAGTTCACAGTGGCCGGTGGCCGGTTCTCAGTTTGCTCCCCTGGTGACACAAACCCCTTTATGGCCAGTGGTGGAAGTCCTTACCACAAAACTATTCCTTGCCATTTATCTCATGCTCCGCACTGTTCTTTCATATTGACTTTTCTTCACGCGACAAGATATTACTCTCACCTTTGTCGTTCATACCGAATTCATCAAGATTGCTAGCCTTTGGTTTTCACATGGTCGAAATGTTGCTGCATTGCCATTTTCACTTATTAGCCTTCTAACCAATAATGAGAAGTTGGAGTCTATCTTTGATTGATAATGTGAAAGAGGGTTATATTTGATCATGAAAAGGGGATTAGTATCACGCCCCAAAATGGATTGAGACGTGGCCGGCGCCCAATGCCTATCAACTTGCACAGAGCGAACCGTAATGATGTAGTACATGCCCAATTCGCATCCACGATCCAATTTATTAATCAATCAACAACGTTTAACGAATAAAGTGAACTAAATACCATTTCAATTAGAGTCTATAACCCAAAATATTACGTAGTTCATCTGTGAACCCTCTAGGACGCTATGAATAAAGGGATAAAATAACGGGTCTAGCCCGCATACAAGAGGAAGTAATTGAATAGAGTATTCTAACGAAGTCAAAGGCGGGCTCTAAAAGCATAAAGCTACAGGAATCCTAGCTCGTACACTGACCGTCCTGCGCCTGACCAACCGCTCAACCTAACACCATTTAAACAAATGATGCTTGAGTATCAAAATACTCAGATATGCATCGTAGCCGCCACTCGTGGTGGGGCAAGCGTTATACAGATATAAAGAATATATCAGATGCATAAAAGATAAATTAAATAACTAGTTTAATTTATCGAAGCAGATAATGTGAACTCAATTTAAGATGCATGAGAGATAAATCAAGTAGATAGTTTAATTTATCAAGCATGTAAAGAAACACAAGTCAATTAAAGCATGTTTCGGATTCTTAAGACCATTCAAGTGTCATCTAACTTATAATTTCAGTGACAAACTCAAAGTATCACAACATTAGTCTGTTATATGACAATAAAACACAGACACCTTCCATCCGTGTTTCAATATTATGCACACAAATGGTGCTGGAATATATCGGGATGCCATCCACAATGACTGCCGTACATCCCCAAACAGTTAGGCCAATGTATACCGTCAAAGATCCAAGACGGCTGCCATACTAGACAAATCACATTCTTTGGTTTCTCTTTTCAAAATCATGGCCATTGGTCGAAAATCATTTCTTTATGTAGTACATCAAGGACCCAAGAAGGTTGTCGTACAACTCCCGCACTTGTAGACGACACACGCTTGTCGCTATGTATATTATTTCGAGTCATGGCCTAATAGATGAATTTCCCTTTATTAATGAAGTGTCCAATTTCATGTGTTAAGTGAAAATCAAGAGATACGAGCACAACAATATGTTCGAAAGCATGTTAAAACACTTCATGCACATCATATAAATAGTATGGTGCATTACGCTATAGCACAGAGATTAAAAATCATAGACACTTTTTTATATAACTCAAAACGTAGCATTTTAGGCGATTTTATCGTTTAGTCCCAACCAAAGAGTAAACCATGCAAGATTGTCCGTCACATGCATGTAATCTCATCAAGTTACTATACCGAAACTACATATTAATTTTGAGAACACACAAGAAGGTAGAAGCTAAGCATACCTCGAAATCTCTTTAAATAAGCTAAATATCGCGCCGGTTGTCCAATGATGCCCAACAATGTCAATCTACATATATAAATTCATGGATGTCAATAACGTGTCACATCGCTACTAATTTAACCAAGTGTTCTACACTTAGACTTAGTTTCCAAAAATTCCATAATCCTCCGTTTTTAGGTGATACCATGGTTAATCACCTTAAATAATTCCAACAATTGCGTCAATACATTCATTAGTGTCGTATAAGTTTTCCATTAAAAACCCATAAGCACTATTCATCGTCTCCTCACCAACCTCGCAACCTCCATTAATGTCAAGTTAGGGCTTTGCACTTATTGTCAATCCAACCACCAGCCAACTCAAATAATACCTTTTACAACCATATGTACTCATAAATAACTCATATTTATTGTTCACAAGTGTAGAAATTAGCTTCTTGAATAAAAACTAAAAAATCAACTTTAGGGATTTTAAAGCACCTTGGTGTTCTTGTTGAAATCTAGCCAATCCAAAGATATATTGATGTAAGTGTTAACTAACTTTAATTAACACAAAATATAGGACAAAACTTACCTTGGATGGCGTTGGAAGGGGTCTTGGCCGAGAGCTCTTGAAGAACTAAACTTAGCTATTTGTTTGGTTTCTTTGCAACTGTAAAGACCCAACTACAGAGGAAAGGTATTTTATGTCTAATGGCTACTGATTTGTTTGGACCCCACTTAATTGGAAAAACTTATCATTTTGAGTGATTAGGAAATAGCATTATGTATTTAAGTTCAATTTGGTCTTTAGCTGCTCTATGACGCATCTTTTATCAGAATGGTTATACCATGGAAAGATTGGGGACCATCTTTCAAAAATGAACCCGGACGCATTTCTTGCGTGGCCGAACCCATAGATCTTGATGTATGCCTATCTTTTACTTGGACTACAAAAATGCATTCTTCGAGATCCCCACAGAGCGGTATTCAAATTAAGACTACAATCATACATATTCGATACATGCTTCAATATTGGACCAGTCCTTGAATAGTTCAAAATGATGTGGTGGCCAAGATATGGACCGCTTAAAGAAAGGATGCCTCTCATCAATTTAGTCCATTATGGTTTTCTTTACCATTCTGGACTACTAAATTCAGTTCTAGTTGTTGCCATCTCACGAAATTGGCCCGTTCGCCAACTTGACGTGAAAAATGCCTTCCTCCATGGTCTTTGACTTTAAGAGGTATACATGCAACAACCTCCTGGATTTGTTGATCCTTCTAAGCATACTCATCTTTGTCGCTTTCATAAGGCCATTGTTGGTCTTCATCAAGCACAATTGGCATGCTTTCAACGGTTCAGTACCTATCTTCTCCAAAGTGGCTTTCGTCAGAGTGTTGCAGATACCTCCATCTATCTTTTTTCACCATTCCTCTACTGGCTGTATCATCCTTTTGCCTTTATGTTGATGACATCATCTTAACCGGTGACAACGGATCTCTTCTCACTCAATTTATTCCCCGTCTCAGTAAATATTTTGCCATGAAGGACTTGGGTTATTTCGTCCCTTTTTGCCTTTCTTTTTTGGTTTTGTAATTCCATCTCCCATTTGGAATATAATTAAATATTCATATTCCGTCCATGTACCCGGAACAATGTATATACTCCATGCGTCCCTAACTTATGTGGCACCGTTCAGATTTCGAGAGTTAAACTTCTAAATTTTGACCGTGAATTTGGATATAGAATCTTAAGTTTTTTGAAATAAAATCTACATATTTAAAAACTATATAAAAAGTATTATAAGTCACAATAATTAACAATTTATGAAATTTGAAAAGCATACGAAAAAATTGCGGTCAAAGAATAACTCGTTTGACTCTTGATGGTGCCACATAAATTGGGACAAAAGGAGCAAGTATTAACATGTCCGATAATATTTTCCTCAATCCGTCGGCATCAATGGTGCACAAAAAAATATTTGTTATATTCTTATGTGCGCTTAATGTATTAAACTTAATTGAAAAAAATCGAAGCGCTACAATTTGGAACTAGTACATGTGGCTATTTGAAAGATTTCTGATCTCTCTCGTCTCAATGGTTCAAAGGAAAGGACCTTTGAGTGGGCACATAAGTTATGGACGTCTATCAGCTTGTCCGTTAAGGTCTTGTTATGCAATCAAGAACTTTTCTCATATAAGCATTTTGAAAGTCCTCCAAATTGGTAAGTAAATAAAACAGAATTTTGTAGTTTTAGAAGGCATAAAGAATTTGACGTTGGCTATATCAAAGGAAAAACTTGAATCTGCAAATCTGATTAAGCTGTATTAGTTGGTTTTAAAAGGTTACACACTTATGTGGTATACTTGGTTCTCTGTACAATTCCTGATCAGCAGAAGAGCAAGAAAGTTTCACGTTGATTAGTTGGTTAACCGGCACCACAGTGTTGCCTATGAACTGCTTGTCTGCTTTTGCGTCGAATGATCTTGAGGATTGACAGCAAAATCAAGGAAGAGGTTGCTAAGTGTATTGCTTATACTCTAGGTAGGAAAATTGTTCTTGCTGTAAAATGCATTGAAATTATGGGAAAGCTAGCGTGCTGGATTACTGAGAGACTATCTGCTAGATTTCTTAAGTAAAATAAATAAGTAATTTGAGCGAATATTACTTTTTCAAAATATACACTTTAGATTCTTCAATGAAAAAATGTATAGTTTTTTGCTTTAATCTCTTCTATTGAATCTAAAATACTTTTATGGAAACTGCAGCTTTCATAGGCTTCATCATTAGTAATTTGATGCTAGAATACTTGTGCAGCTGTGGCAACTGATGGGCTAAAGCCGTCGTCTTTTACACTACAATGTCTAGAAAATCAGAAACAAAATCTTCTTGTCAAGGCATCACAGATACATAAAACACCGGAAATTAGCTGTAATTAACCTTTAGTGTCAACCAACTATGAATATCCTGTATGGTGTGGTGTCCGTCTTCTGCCATTAGATCAGTTGAATATCATCGATCCAATGGCTAAAAGAGATGACTGCATCATGCGTTAGCTGTATAAAAATTGAAGTCACTGAGTGCTGCTGCTGAGAGCTATAGTTTAGCACCGTTTTAATGGCTCTGATTTTATATGTTCGTTTAGTTTATGTTGTCTAGATTCTCTATAGCACTTGTGTACGTGTTTTTTTGCCGACCTTTCTACACAATTTTTACTTTATATAATCATGTAGTTTTAGCTAGGTTGTGGACTGAAAGTTGGAACTAATTTTTTTTTTTCAGTTTGGGCTGGATTCTCTGAGAGAACACGTGAGGGAAACAAGTTTATTGTAGCTGAAAGACCTTCGAAACAGGCGAAGAAAAATTACTGCATGGAAACGTCTGAATCTATTGCCGAGGAGCGAAGATTGAAGAGGGAATCAAATGGGTTCTTTGAAGATACTGGAAAGGAGGAATCACCTTCAAATCTTTTAGATACCTTGTTTGATAATTAGTGCCGGAAAAAAAAAAAAAAACAAGTTATGCATCCTTCAGCTTCATCCACAAGGCCAGGCTGATTTATTTGGACAGAACCGAAGCAAGTCAACTGTCAAAAGGGAATTTTGGTTATTAGTGGAGTAAACTACGGAAAATAGGAATTTAGAACCTAAGTAGTGTCACTGATTAGCCATCATAGAATATAGCATTTTCACATGAATTTTGTATCTACAAGTATTTTGTAAAGAGATTGCAGGTTTAGCATGTTTCAGTCCCCTGTTTGATGTATTGAAAAGCTAATACTAGACGGAACTATTTCAGAGGGGCCAGGTGCCATTTTCTGATCGTGGATCAAGCATGTTCTTTGTACACTTGAAGCTCGGTCTTAAGACGGCCATTGCACAATTTTATAATATTAAGTTGAGAGTTCAGACTAGCCAAATGATTGCAATTGTAGCTCTATTCAGCAAATGATTGCAAATGTACATAATGTATATAGTATCTCCTTTTGCATCAGCGATCCTCTCACAATGTCAAAGTGTTAGGTAATGCCTGGGAATTGTGCCTTGATTGGCTCACCTCCATCTCTATTTGACTTTACTCTAGTAGATCAGAATGTAGAGGTAGAACTAGAAATTTCAATGGCATTAAAGCACTTAAATGCCTTATATAAATAAATGGTCTTTATACGCCAAAAATAAGTTGTGAGACTATGGTCATGAGTTGCATTTGCATCTGCCAGAAGAGAATGGATCATCCTGTCCTGTAAAGAATGATAATAACATGGTAGAAATCATTTCAAAAAGGATATATAAATGTCATATGTTATTCCACCTTTATCAACTAAATACTTGACTAGCTGTTGCGTGTCATGTGGCAACTTAACTCTACACCTTTTATGTGTAGCTTCTGTTAAAGCATATTAAACTTTATATTACAAGACTAATAAACTGCTCCATTGCTAGAATTTTTCTTGGTTTTAGACGTCTTTCCATTGACTAATATGGGAAAAGCTTAGGTAGATGAAGGTCATCCATTATAATATATCAATCAAGACTAGAAAAACTTTGATGATTTCTCTTTCTTTACAGTTGTTTAAATATCCAAGAGAAAGAAAGTCCTTGTTCACAGGTAGGAGTTAGGTATTTTTTTTGTTGTCACAGACAAGAAGCTCAACCATTAAGCCACTATGGTCAAACATTTGTAAGTTCTAACCCCCACCTTCATTTCTTGGAGCAGTTGGGATGTGCTTTTGTCTCTTTATCTAACGTTTAACTTGCTCTGCTCAGACTTTCACCAGTAAAGACACAACATCCTTTTCAATGGGAATCAACATTTTCTAAATCACTAACGTGAGAAGTACTATAAATGTGATACACAAAGTGCACATATGATAGTCAGCCAAAAATAAATGTTACTTATGAGAGTTCTGTTCCTTCTTTTAGAAATTAATCCTTCCTTGTAGCTCTTTCATACCTTCAATTAAGGCTTAGTTCAAGAGAATTGACTAACCTCAAACTCATGCAGTCAAGAGAGGTTCCAGTGCAGCTTTCATGCAGAAAACAGTTTTCCTGCATGTTGCATGTCTTCAGCCGGAGAATTCACTGGCTTTGCTCGAGGATACGGTGGCTGATGTGGCGACGTCCGAGGTCTAAGGTGGTGATCAAGAGGTTTGGTAAGTTGAATTCAAGAGGACATCATGGCCCGCTCAAAGAAAAACCAAGCATCAAATCATTAACAACTCATCCAAATGCCCAAACTAGGCCTATTCGACTAGCCACTTTCAATGCTGCATTATTTTCCCTTGCACCAGCTGTGCCTAAGGCTGAAAAATCAGTCATATTTTCTCATGATGATGATGATGACGGTTTCAAATTTCAAAACCAGGTAAAGTCTGAGATTAATAGTCGTCCTAAGAGCATATTGAAACATTCCCCTCTTCATCCCACATTAATAAATGGTGCAAAACCAAAGCCAAAAGTTTCAATAAACCTTCCTGAGAATGAGATTTCATTAGCTCAGAACAGGGTATTCGGTATGTTGGAAGATGACTCCACCAAGATTTTGAGTTTAAACAACAACAGTCTAGCTCCTGTTAGGTCTCCGATATGCTTCCCCGCGATGGCTAAATGGATGAATAATGATTATGGAGGCGACTACTTGAGTGGAACAAGGTCTATTCTTGATGTGTTGAAAGAAGTGGATGCTGATATATTGGCTTTACAAGATGTGAAGGCAGAGGAAGAGAAAGATATGAGCCCTTTATCTGATTTGGCTCATGCTCTTGGTATGCACTATGTGTTTGCTGAAAGCTGGGCTCCTGAATTTGGTAATGCTATTTTATCCAAATGGCCTATTAAGAGATGGAGAATACAGAAAATCTTTGATGATAAAGATTTCAGGTGCCACTCTTGGAACTTACACTACTGTTAAAACTTTCATTGACAATATCTATGTTTAAGGAATTGTATGTACTACTTTATCTAAAAGTTTAAACTATCATAAACTAGAATACTTTTATTTTGTTCTTCAAAAGTTTAAACATGTATTGATTGGTGCAGGAATGTGCTTAAGGCTACGATTGATGTACCACGGATGGGAGAGTTGAACTTCTGTTGCACTCAACTTGATCATTTAGATGAGAATTGGAGAATGAAACAAGTTAATGCGATAATTCAATCAAATGACAATCCTCACATTTTAGCAGGAGGTTTGAATTCTCTTGATGCCTCAGATTACTCAATAGAGAGATGGACTGATATTGTGAAGGTAAAAAAGAGAATCCCAAATCTTATACCATTCTTTCTTGGATTACTAGTTGATCACACAAATTCTCTATAAACAGTATTATGAGGAGATAGGGAAGCCAACTCCAAGAGTTGAGGTCATGAAATTCTTGAAAGGGAAAGAGTACAGTGATGCTAAAGAATTTGCAGGGGAATGTGAGTCAGTTGTTATCATTGCTAAAGGCCAAAGTATGAATCTTTATCTTAAGGTTTCTATGAAATCTCTCTCCTCTTTGCTTGGAACCATTTTTCTCAATCATGTTCTATGTCATTTTGGTACAGATGTGCAAGGAACATGCAAGTATGGAACTCGAGTTGATTATATTTTGGGTTCACAAGGCCTGCCTTATGCATTTGTACCTGGATCATACTCTGTTGTTTCGTCGAAAGGCACGTCCGATCATCATATAGTTAAGGTGGAAATCATGAAAGTTGCAGGCAGTGGTAGGAAGAATAGTAGGAAACAGAAGAAAGTAAAACAGAAAATTGTGAGGATGACAAGTTCTTGTTCTTCAAGAGGGATTTGGCAATCAAACACCTAGCAATTGTGGTTATTAGGTGTTGAGGTCTTTAGCCTCTTCTTTTTCTTTGTCCTTGTTTTTCCTCTTGAGGTGTATACATTATTGCATCTTTCTACTTTGTGACTGACTACAGTTTCATTACATGTAGAGTTTAAGATATTGAGGGGAAGTCAATCATGATATAGATCTATGTTCTGCCTTTTTGTTTGGCCTAGCTAATTGAGTCTATCAACATTCTACACTATTAAGTTCACCTTCTTAGCCAACAAGGGTTGTGGTGGAATGGTAAGTGCTACTTCATCCTTAACCAGAGGTCTCGAGTTCGAGCCCCTGGGTATGGAATCACCTTTGTTAGGGAGCGTGCGAATTCGGATTTAGTCGGGTCCTAATATGGGTACCGGACACCGAGTGAGAAATCAAAAATGAAAAAAATTCACCTATTTAATATTTTGTAGCTCTTAATTCAAGAGCCGGCTTAAGGATAAGGGTGAGATTTAAAGAGCCTGTATTTCAAAGAATCCCTAATTAGCTTTCAAAGAAAAGTTATTTACTAGTATTAGTTTTGTAATAATTTGGGATCATATGGAATTGCGTAGATAGATAATTCATTTAATTAATTTCAACTAGTTCGAAATTGAGGTATAGTTGATTGATTGTCCAGATTGTAAAGATGTGGATCCCAAACATGTAAATTCTAAGAAGCTAAAAACTAATTAGATCAATATCTGGCATTAGGTTAAAATATTAATAAAGTCAACCCTAAAAAAGTCCACATTTGCAGGCCGAATTAGTTAAATAATAAAAATTCGGCAAAGGTAGTATTCCTGCTGTCCCAAAAATGTAGTCTTACATTTTCTTTTGGATTGTTTTTAAAAAGTTTGTCCTCGTAATTACGGGTTACACGCTCGATGTGCGTCCATAAGATTAGTACTATATAAAAGTACAAAACTCCTAATCAAAATATTGTTCGTTTTTTTACCTTTTGAAAATAGACTTCATATTAGACAAAATTGTAATTTAGTTATTTTTTAATATTTAAGATTTTAAAACCAATTAAAATTTTAGTTATTAAATTTTTTCTTATTTAAATTACGTAAAAAGTACTAATATTCAAAATTTAAAAATTGATATTGTTTGGTAGAAATAGGAGTATTCCGTTTTCTTTTCCTTATATAAGTTGACGGCAATTTCCACATGAAATATGTTTCACATTCATTCTTTTTATATTAGGCGCTTCTTATTCTAACGAGAAGCTTTCTATATATTGTTAAAAATAAGAAGTTTATACTTAATTAAATATTTATTCTAATTAGTAAATATAGCTTTTAAATATTATATAAATTGATAAATAGAAAAATATTATTCGAGTGAGAAAGAAATTCAAAAATTATCTGTATCCTCTACACTATCACAAAAGCATGAAGACTCGATGTATAATTAAGACTTTGAATTAACTAATAAGCAAAAACATTCAGTTCAAAACTTTTCTTTATGTAAGTAAAATTATTTTCAGTTGATAAGACTCTTAAGGTGCATAAATTTATTGACAAAAAGAGCATTGACAGTGAAAAAAATAAGAAAATAGACCAAAAGTAATTATAATATAGTAGCAAAGTCGAATTGCTAAAATATAAAACCGAAGCAATAAGCATATACTAGCTAGGGGTGCTCATGAAAAAACTGAAAAAATAAACCAAATATGAAAAGCCAATAATTTTCGATTTTGATTTTGAATTTTAAAAAACTACCAAACTAACTATAAAATTATAGAAGTGAACTAGGTTTAAGGTGAATATATTGAATGATAATTGAGGACTTTTATGGGAGGGGCATGATTTCTTTCTTTATTAAGTTAGCTATATTGGATCAACATTATTAATTTTTTTTGAACAGTAGGAAATATATTAATAATAACTAACTGTCAAGTTTTGACAAATTACAACCCATATTGCCGCAGTTGGCACTTACATTTGAACTACAGCCTTCTAAGGCATCAACATTCCCTAAAGCAGCCAACTTAGTGCATATCTTAGTAGAAGTAATTTTTACAAAACAAAAGCCCTCCATGTCCCTTTGATATTGTGTCATCGCCGGTTCAGGTGGGGTCGCCAACAGACAAAGCTTATTTA